GGGGGGAGGGGAGCCGTGTGTACATCCTCCGGTCTGACAGCTGGAGTGGAGCCTTGGGGTCCTCCCGGCATGCTCCGCCCGCATGGAGGCCACATCTGTACCCCGCTCTGACCCCAGTGGGGCTAAATAATGGCATCTCTTTTGAAATAGAGGTTCTTTTCCAGTCTGGGACACAGGCTGGCTGGAGGAAGGTGTGGAATTGATAGATTCTAGTGCAGGACAGCAGCCCAGCCACCTCTACGCAGAGAGCAGTGATGCCTGTGTTCACTGACGCATGTGGATTGGGTCTCCAAGGCCTGGCAGATATTGTCAAATATTGTCATAGCCAGATACACACTCACACTTCTGTACTGCTCTTCTGATATCCTGGGAAGCCAGGTGACTAGGCTTTAATTTAATCCCTATCACTACTCTCCAGCAAGATACGTCATTCCCAGTTACGAGGTCCATAGAGTTTTCTAAGGAGATATGCTTTCTTAAATCCTTTGTTAGTAGTACTATTAATTTCTCGAGAAGAGATTTTAACCTTAATAAGACTAAAGATGTTAGAACTGCCCCTCTACTTCAGGTTCAATTTCCCTTCTGTTTTATCTGAGCTTTTCCATATGGGTTGCATCTCTTAAAGTAGTAAAGAAACAATAATCAGTAATCAAGAAGTCTTAGCCGTGTGTCTGGTACTATTCCAAGAACTTGATATCAATTAGCTAATTTAATCCACATGTAAATATTAGGAGGTAGTTGTTTTTATATGTGGGGAAACTGAGGCCAGAGAGGTGAAGGCACTTGCCCAGAGTCACACAGCGGTTTAGTGGCAAACCTGGCCTTTGACTCGGGCTGCCCAGCCTTGGAGCCCGTGACCCTAGCAGTGGAAAGGTCAGTCTTCAGCCTTATTCTCATCAAACATTTCGACTTCCTGTTTCTATATCATTGGCTTTTCTTAACAGGTAAGTGACAATTAGGTATAAATATAAAAATTATGTTCATGAATACAAAACCTCTCTTCTATCAAGTAGAACTTTACAGGTGAGACCAAAGACACATTGATAAATACTGGTTTTGAAATAGATTATCCTACTGAACACCCAGTCAAAGGATCTAAACAGAAATTCTCCATGGGAGCAGTAATAAATCACTTGGGGTTCACCAGAGGGTCATTTCTGGAACCCTTCACGCCCAGTGAGGATCTACCCGCCTTCAGGAGCTAGTGTTACTGAGGGTAGTTGTGCAGAAAACACACTTCTATGTGTCTCTTTTACTCTCATGCTATTATCACACTCACAACACTTCTGATACCAGGTGTGTGGGTCTTTCACACATCAAGCAATTCTCCTAGACATACTGGATAGAATTACTGGGTGTCCAGTAATTCTATCGAATTCTACCTGGAAATAGTGTCAGATCCCACAAGTTAAGGGCTCAGTCTCACGAGACTGCCTCCACCTCAGACTTCAGTCTCAAGTCCCAGATTGTCACTTGTACTTCTGACCTACTGGCTATTAACGGAATTCCTATGACCCCATCTGTGGTTTCAGTAATTTGCTTGAATGGCTCACAGAACCGAGGGGAATTACTTAGAAGGACTATAGAGATGAACAGTCGGATGAAGAGGTACACTGGGACCCTCCTCACCTCCTGGTTGTGTCCCTGGAGCTTGTGTCCCTGTGAAGCCAGGGACACTCTCCTGGCACATGGATGTGTTCACCAACCTGGATGGTCCCCAAACCTCATTCTACTGGGATTTTTATGGAGGCTTCATCAAATAGGCGTGATTGATTAGTAACTCCATTTCTAACCCCACTCCCTTTCCAGGAGGATGGAAGATAGAGGATGGGGTGGAAAGTTCTAGGCTTCTAATCATGGCTTGTTTTTTTTATGATCAGCCCCCATCCAGGGGCCTACCAAGAGTCTCCTCATTAGGACAAAAGACACTCCTGTCACCCAGGAAATTCCAAGAGATTTAGGAGCTCGGCGTCAAGAGCTGTGGTTAAAGACTAAGTGTTAGAACAAAAAATTCTCCTAGAATCCCTATTTATGAGAAGCTCAGTGTCAGGAACCAGGGGCAGGTGGCAATATATATGTGTCATATTATTTCACAGTAGTGTATCATATTCCTTGGTTTCCTCCAAACACTTGGATCCTCTCTTGTTTTGAAACAGGGAAAAAAAAAAAAGGTCAAACACTATTACTTAGTAAATGCATTTTACTAGAAAAGAAAGACTCGGAAAGTCAGCCTTGCCCCAAAAGACCAGATGACGCAGCTGGCAGAAGAGCTAGGCCCAGGTGAATGCACAGGTGTCCCCACAGGTGTCTCTCTCTTGCTTCTGCGAATGCTCCTCACCCGCCTGTGTGGCTAGGAGGAGTTGGAGTGTAGGTGACTCTTAATGGGAATTACGCCTCTCTTAAACGTGACTTGATTTCGGTGTTCTCAGAGGTACGGGGAAGATCAGGTAGCAGAAGAAGTGAGAAGTAGCAAAGATCTACTTCAGGTTGGAGGCGTGGGTTCCGGATGAGTGAGGTCTTTCACCACATTCCACCTGGACTTCGTTGCCCTCTGTTCTGGATGGAGTGTCTTTAATTTTGGGAATATTAAACTCCAGTCACACTGACTGGATTGAAACGGGAATTTCCTTGAGGGTATGCCGGCTTTAGAAGTGGTTTGATCCGCTGACTCAGTGGTTTGATCCGCTGATCCAGAACCTTCTTTTTTTATTTCTCTCGCTCTGCCCATTGTGCAGTTAGACTCGTTTCCTTCATGCTTAAGATCTTCCTCAGCCCACTGTCAGTTCAGAAGGAGAGAAGAGGGTGCTTCTGTTGGAAGAGCTCTTTCCCAAAACCCCCACTGGTCTCAGTTAGGTCATGAGTCCTCTCTTGAGTCAGTAACTGCGGCCAGAGCTCAGGCGAGGCTCAGCCAAGTGCCCTTTCTCAGAACCTGTAGTAGAAGCAGGTTTTCCCCAGACCCCGACCTGTAAAAGGAATTGCTTAACCCCTGAAAAAAATCGAAGAGCTGGTAGCCACTAAGAGAAGTGTAGACACTGAGTAGGAAAATAAAACTCTCACTATTATTATAACTCGCTAGTTTCCTGGCAGTCGTGTACTCATAATTGCAGTTTTCTGCTGGAAAGTAGAAAATGGTCCTTTTGAAATATTACTTTTTACTGCTTTGTGACCTTTAAATCTCCTTCGATCTGCCTCCTCCCTCTTTTCCTTTTTCTTTCCCCTTCTTCCTCCTCCCCCTCCCTTCTCCTCCTTTCCCTCCCCTTCCTCCTAGTCTCTCTTTCTCCCTTAATTGTCAACCCCCTTAATGGATGATCTCGTCATTTATTTAACTCAACTAAGTTGGTTCGGTACAATGCAGTTTCTCACTAAAAAAAAAATGCCTTCACATTTGTCCTCCAGGAAGAAGAAATGCCGGATGTAGAAATTGACATTGATGATCTTCTCGACACAGACAGTGAAGAAGAGAGAGCTTTAAAATTACGGGTAAGGAACTTTCAAAACCTAGAACCTTCTGATTATAGATGCTGGAATCCACCTGCCTTAGAACTTGGCATGCACCGGTTCTGCCCCGTGGAGGTGTTGGCACCAGCACTCGGGCAATAGCAGTTTGCAGAGAGGAAAGCAACGATATGTGAAATATTCACCTTCCTGAAGTACATCTCCGATGATAGAGCAGTCTTGAGTACAGTGAGTTCTCCAAGCACCTTATGGAGATGAGTTTCTCCAGCCTCATCTTCTTGGGAGGAAGAGCTGGTTCTGCCCGCTGAGCCCCCTTTGCCAGGGAAGGAAGTGATGTCCCATGGTTGTATGAGGAGACGGGCTGAGCCAGAACTGGAGGTCTAAACCCAGGACTCTGGTCTTGTGGTTGTGGGTTATATCATTCACGGAATTAATTTTGAGATAGGTATATCTACAACATAATTCTCTTCAATGTAAAATATCATTTATTAGAGTATGCCCATTTGATATTATTCTAGTACAACTATGGATATTGAGATGTCTCATGTTTCTATAGTTCAGAGTCGTGGAATATTTACTTCCCTTCCCATAGGAGGCCAAATCTATCATTTTAATATTCGTAATGGGAGTTTCTAAACCCAGTTAACCTTTGACCTGCCAACTTTCTTAATGTTCACTGATAATTACTGTTAATGGCTATTGGTTGTCACCAGTGGTATATGATCACTAAAGGCAATTAAAGGGCACATTTTAATGTATCAATAATTACTAGCATCCCTTGAGTGGTGAACAGTCTCAGTTTAATGATTATTCATTCTTGTTGGTAAATTTAATTGAAAAAGTTAAACAAAATATGGCAGGCATCAGTTCTTCAGAGAACATAATGACAAAAATATTTTCTTAAAATCGAGAACTTAAAAGGTCTTTAGCTACCATCAGGTCATCCCCTTTGGTTCTCAGGTGAGGACACCGAAGACTGCCAGGCGTGTGACAAGTTGATTTGTGGTTGAATCACAACCAGGCCCCTCCATCTCCAGTGAGACTGTCACCCTCTCTTACAGGCTGTCTCAATTTAAGTATATCTAATTTATTATTAACTAAATTGGCAGCCAGAAAGAAAGGGCTGTGTGTGTGTGTGTGTGTGTGTGTGTGTGTGTGTGTGTGTGTGTTGTGGAGAGTGTCGCTCTCCTGAAAATAAAACTAGTTTTGGGTATAATGTACCCATTTTATACCTAAGGAAGTGGACACTCATAGAAGTGAAGAAATTGCTTTACATCTTCAGTTGGCCAACAGCTGTTAAAGTGTGATTCTATACAGTCAATGTGAAATGTTGATTTACTATGTTTAGAATAATACTATAAAGATGAAATGAATTTCAATTTTACTTTTAAAATGATATGAAATTTTTAAATAATAAAACTTACCTTTTGTGTATTTCATTCTAGGAAGCTCTTGTAGACTGCTACAAACCAACAGAGGTAAACAAATCATGTTTCCTAAATGCCATGTTTGAATTAGATTTTATTAAATCAATTTGTCTAAACCACAGTAAGCGGGTTTGATTATGTATATACTTGGTAGCAGTTACTATCTCTAAGTGAGGTGCATATGTTTGAATACTACTAACTTCCTTATTTGTAAGCTTAAATATATCTAGTTTAGGAAAACTTAAAACTTATGAGATCTCATGTGTTGCTTGCTTTCATATAAAAGCCAAACTTCAAAGGTCATTGAGAGAGGTTTTAGAATCATTTTAGTAAAAGTTTAGATTTATAACAGGAAATACATTCTATCAGTGTGTAAGTATGTATTTTTGAAAAGCTTGAAGCCAATTCTGTCATTCAGAATTGAACAGTTGCCTTTCTTGGAAGAAGAAATTTTATGCTTTGTTTCGATATTTATCAAATGTATAAATATTAATGTAAAAATCAATGGATGTTATTTTGATTAGACCAATGCATTTAATATATACTCTAGTGACCAAAAGTACAAATGACGTAGAAATTAAGGTTTGATCAACTATGAAAATATTGGTAAAAGAAGTACTTTCCCTTTGTTCCTGTGATGAATCAGAGGAATTAGAAGATTCATCAAATGTTTTGGAATCTGTTCTCAACCTCAAAGTGATAGTGGTCGGACTTGTTTTTTGAAGTGGTATAATTTGAAAGTGAGAGGGGAGAATGCTTTCACGAGAGTGTGTAAGATTTAAATGACTAGGGTGTTTTATGATCATTTGGTTTGAGGCTAGCTACTTAATCGAGCTTTATTCTTACAATCTCCAGTTTGTCTTTATATTGATTACATCTTGCAGTCATAGAGATTTTAAACTTTTAGTTATTAAAAATATGTTTTAATCAATATGATGCATATTCATAGTTTTGAAAGCCAAAAATAAGCTTATAAGAAAAAATAACAGTGCTTTTCCCACCCCTAAACCCCCTCCTTAGGGATATGTATTTTTATATTTATATATTATATTTATGTATTTTTGTACAATAACGCTTTGGACTGTTTCCTTGCTGTTTATTCTCGTATTCCTAAATATGTATTTACTTGCTTTTTTTTCATTCATTGACTTCCGGGGAAATATGATAGTTCTGTCACTCTCTATACAATTCATTTCCCTTCATCTCCTTAATGAAGTTATTTAACACTTTAAAAAAAAAAATCAGTCGTCGAATAGAATAATATTGTGACTTAAACAAATGTTTTTCACTGCTAAACCAAACAATAAAACAAGACCATGGCTCCTTTCCTGAATAGCCCTTCATTTTTCCTGGAGTTGATATCTGCTTGTCTTTGTTGTGTCTACTACCCATTGCTATTTTTTTTTTGTCAAACTCTCCAATATCTCTGCCAAACATGTAATAATATATTTTCTGTATGCTCAAACACATCATCACTATGCCCCCACCTCAGACTTTGCTCCCGGATCTCCTGCTTGCAGCAGCCTGGAGAAGTTATTCTCTGGATCTGCTGAGAAGCTACTGTCCTGAGGCTCTTGTCCTATGTTAGATGCTTCATTTCTGAAATCCCAGCGTTCCGCATTTTAGTTGGAATATGTCATCCAGTAGCTTTTTGGGAAAGGATGCATAGGAGGTAAATTATCCTTGCATCTATGGAAATATATCTTGATCAGTATAGTTGGGACAATGTAAGATTCTAGGATAAAATTTGTTATTAAAACTTAATTTTAAAGATATTACTCTACCGTTGTATTATTTCCCTTGTTAAGAGGTCTGGAGCCATTTCTATCCTCAGACCTATTATTCCCCTCCAGTTAACTTTTAGGATTATCTCCATTTTTGAATTTTACAATGATACGCTGTAGTGTGGGTCCTTTTCTATTCATTTGCTGGGTACTTGCAAGCTCTTTTCATCTGAAGAGTTAAGTTGTTTCAGTTCTTCAAAAATGGTCTTTTGTTATCTATTATTTTTATTAATTTCTTCCTCAATATTCTATATTTCTGTCTCTCCTGTTATTTAGATGTTGCTCCTTCTGGATGGAGCCTCTAATTTCTATCTTTTCCTTTTGGATTTCATTCTCCTTGATCTTTTGTTCTCATTTCTGAAAGGTTTCTCTGACATTATCTTCTAGCCTTTTTACTGATATTTAAAGATTTCAACTACCTTATTTTTAATATCGAAGAGCGCTTTCTTGATCTCTGTCCTTTCTTGATCTCTGTTCACTGTTTTGTTTTAGTATTTCTTATTCCATTGATGCATTTTTTCCTCTTTGAAGATATTAATCAGATGCTTTCTTTTCTTTGTTTTTGCCTTTAAGATTATTCTGCTGTCTAGATTTCTCTGCTTTTTCTGAACCCCACCTTTTTTCCTATTTTTATCTGTATTTGCTGAGTTTTGGCAGTGTACCCACGTTTCAGTGTTAGGAGCCAGTAAGCTGATTGAAATCTGTGCGTGTGAGCACAGCTTGTCATTGGTGGGTCTCACTGTGGAAGGACCAGCTTGCACACCAGATTTTTTTATTTTTTTCATGGTATATGTGAATGGAGCAAGGGAACCACTCAAAATGTTGCTATTTTTAAAAGAGTTTGACCCCCTAAGCTCCTGCCTGAGGGTTGATATTCTGATTTCAGGCTTTCTGAAAGCAAGGATAGGAAGGAGGCAGGAGACTGTACCATTTAGTTATTTGGGGGAATAAAGCTTCTTTACTTTATTCCCCCAAATAACTAAATGGTACAGTCTCCTGCCTCCTTCCTATCCTTGCTTTCCCACCTAAATAACCAAAATATAGTTAAGTTGGGGAATTAATGTAAGAGTTAAAACAATTATTTATTTGGAGAGTGATCTAAGAAAGGTGATGAATTATGCTGATAAATTGACATGTGATGTGGGGAGAGGGGGTTGCCGTTGCGAGTAAACCTGGACTGGTAAGTATAGCACTCTGCTTGCTTTTCATTCCCCTTTTTCATTCCGTCCTTCTCTTAGATGGAGAAGTTCATGTTTTGGTTATTTAGGTGGGAAAGTCTGGACTTGCCGCTTTCTCTTCTCAACCACTCTGCAGGCAGGCGGCAGTAGGAAGTCATTTTCATCTTCTCACTGAAATAAGCCCTGTTCTCTCCAATTTTGCAGTATCTCGGGAGCAAAATAGTTCCACTCGTTAACAGCCATGTAGTGAAATGAAAACAATGGTCTTGTCCCCCTGGAACAGAAGCATTCCCCCTTTGGTTTGCGTAAGAAGGCTTAAGAGATGGAAGGATGTAACATTTGGATGGTCTTCAGAGGTCCAAAGGCACTGGCGCTTACAAGGGAACAACTTGTGTTCTTTGTTTAGTTCATGGTTTCTAGGAATGAAATGGTGTACAATGCTGAGAAATTTCAGTCAAGTTCATCTGCCTATTAAAGGATCATTTCAGAAAAGGTGGAATAGTTTTGCCTTTGAGCTTATGTTCCTAAGAAACCCATTTCACTGGCACCTGGATTGTAATGATAAAAATAGTAGCTTGTATTTTCCCGGACCTCTATCTTATTTAATCCTCACAATCATCACATGAAGTAGAGAGTTTGGGTGACTTATCTAAGACCTCACAGGAGCGAGCAAAGAGGTCAGGACTCAACCTGAGTTTCTGACACTGGATCTTGTGCTCTTTCTTTCCATCCTGCCAAGTCTTGACTCAGTAAGACTTGCACAACATGAAAGGATTTGGTTCTATCTCAACTAAATGCCTAACAGCTAATGATGTTCTTCTTTAAGTACCCTTTTTTTTTTTCGATCAAAAGAATTTTACATACAATTATCATGCCACTTTGAAGTTAGAAATGTAAGGAAGATGTCACTGCTGATTCAGATACATTTATTTGTAGTCTCGTTGCACAGGCGGAGTGGGTGGTGGAAAGAAGACTGGACTGGACTTTCCCATCAAGAGTCTTATGTCAGTGGCAGCACTAAATGTCACTTAGTCTTTAAGAAATTTTCTCAACCTCTCTGAGCCACCAATTCCTCCTCTGTAACATGGAAGTAATAACCCCCTCCCTGGGTTTTAGTAAGGATTATTTGCAATAAGAATAATTTTAGCGATAGTTATAACAACAATGATAACGGCTAAATAATTACTAAGCACATGCCAGGCACCAGTCTAATCACATCACATGTACTAACTCATTTCATCTTCACAACAAAGCTGTGAGGATGACACCATTGTTTTAAGTCAGGGAATCTGAGACATAGAAAGGCACTTTGCCTAAGGTGATGTAGTTAATAAGAGGAGAACGCAAAGTAGGTATGAAAGCACATAACATAAAGCTTGGCATGTGCCGGTTGAATCTGGTTCTGTATAATGCTTCTCCACTACATATTAAGTATGCAAAATACAAAATTCACCAATAACAATGTTCTTGAATTATTCAAATCGAAGAGTAGACTTTAAGGAATCTGCCACTTTTACAGAAATGATATTGATTTTGAGTGTCACTTTCTGTCATATTTTTGGGTCCATGGTTTTGTCCTGTGTGGATCCCCAGCTAATAAGAAAAGGACTTATGTTTTCCCATTTTGATTCATATTTCAAACCGTTGACCCTTGACATGTAAATCTTTCCTGACCTGGACTTTTCAAAATGCACAGCAGCATAACTGTGGTCACTACGCTAATGTATTAGTGACTGATTAGTAAGAATGGTGTCTTGATATTTTCCCCTCGAGAAAATGCCATTTCTGATGTAGTTAATATTAAAATAGAGCTGGTTTAAGATTAGAAAAAAGAGGTTTCTATGTCATGCAAGAAGAAAAGGAGTAATTTTCTTTTGCTTATTACTCGGATTTGGAAGATCGGTAGTGACAGCCTAGTGGACATTATAGAAATCAGGGGTGGGAGTATTGGGGCCAGCTAGCCAGGCTAGGGAGGAGCTTCTTTTTTCTATTTGTCACTGTAACGTTGAATGATTTTCAAACCTTAGGATCACAGAGGAGCACCTCCATTATATTGGGAAATGCATTTAATGTGAGCTTGAGGGCATCT